CCTGAGCCTAGCAGCCCTGACAAGTTAGGCTCAGCCATCCATCCTCAAAAGAGCAATTAAAGAGATGAGCAATAACATAGAGAAAGGAGATTTATTCTTTGTGGCTCCTGGAAAGAGAAACAAAGAGGTCCAGTTAACTGGGCAGGGTTTTCCAGCAGAACAGAACCAATAGTTATAGTGGGATTTATTTAATTGGATTATACAATAGGGCCTAAGTAATCCAGTGATTGTTGTCTACATACTGAAAACATGGAGAACCTAGTAGCTATTCAGTCCACGAGGCTAGTTGCCTCCAGAGTCCCAATATGACACTGAAGTCCTCAGAGATCCCTGGAGAACCTTGGGTGTCAGGGAAGATAATGGCAGCAGCAACAATAAAAAGGTAAATGCACTCAAGCAGGCACCGCTGTCTTTTCCTTGGATCCTTTACTTCTGGGCTGCTATGGAAAGTGCCACCCAGTCTCCAGGAGAGTCTTCATCCTGGAAATGTTAATTCTTCCTGGAAATGTTCCCACAGACCTGTTCAGAGGTGTCTTTTAGTTGACTTCAGATCCAAGCCAACTGACAATCAAGATTAACCATCCTGGGCTGGAGATGTGGCTGAGCAGGTTAAACATTGGCAGGTTTTCCAGAGTAACCAGGTTCAAGCCTCAGCAACCACATAATGATTTACAACTGTCTGCAGCTCCAGTTCTAGGGGATCTCCCGGCCTCTGCAGCACCAGCCACAGGACGAACACTCATACATATAAAATAAAAATAGATGTTTAAATGCTAATCACATTAGCCATTGACCTCTTAAATCCATCTTTGGGGTACTGATGTAAGGTCAGAGTTTAGGATGTTGTTTAACTATTTAGTCAGGTATTTTAGAGACAGTTTGCCGTGCAGACCTGGTGGGCTTGCTGTGTAAGCATAAGGACCCGAGTTTGATCTCTAGCAGTAAGTAAAAGCTGGCACTGCGGTAGCATTCACTGTTATCCCAGGACAGGGGAGGGGCGGGACAGAATAGCCCTGGGGTTTGTTGGTCAGCTAGCCGAGCTGAAGTCAAGGTGTTTGCCAAGTTCATTGTTCATGGGGAAACCTGTCTCAAAAAAGGAGGTGGGGAGCAACTGAGGAAGACGCTGGATGTCGACCTCTGTACAGGAACATGCACCCGCACTCACACAGAAAAGAAGAATATTCTTTTAAAAAATAGCAATGATCCAAGAGGAAATTTTAGTCTTAGTTACCAGGACTAGCGTTTTAATATGCCAGACTTTTTCCACTTTACATAGTAATACTTAACAGAATGCGACACAAATCATCCCATCAGGAAGGAAGCTGAAAATTAACATTTCAATTGGTGAACATTTTCCTTAGTTCCAGCTAAAGTGAAATCCTCAAATGAGCAGTTTTTCTTTAACAGTTGATTGTTAATTTCCTACATTCTAACTAAATGTTTTAGGGAAAAAAAAGGGGGGGGGGAGAAAGGCAACAGCTCTCAAGCATTAACGTAGTTCACAAATCATCCTCAGACATTCAAATTCATATTTATATGCATATATGTGTATATATAGATATATACATGTATGACTTTGGCTTGCCAAAAATGGTAATTTTGGCATGAAATACCTTTGTTTTTTTAATGATACAGCCAGAGGTTTACTGCAATTACTTTTACAAACTCTGGGACAGTTTATTTGCTCCATGCTGCTTTAGGCACAAAATGACACAGAACAATTACATTAATATATAGTACGTTCAGATAATATCTCATAAGTATAAAAAAGAGTAGTCAGCAAGAATTTTCCCTTGGGTGCACTAAGATAGTACAGACTTAACCTTCTTATGGTTATAAAGTTATAATGGGTATGTCCTCAACATCTTTGTTTCTCTGTGTTCGGGTTAAAAAACAAAAAACCCAAATGGCTCAGAAGAGTCCTAGAAAACTACGGCTCATTTCAGCCTTTTTTTTTTTTTTTTTCATACTGCCTAAGCCCAAATAACAGAACTCCAACATCACAAAAACCCTGTTGTAGTTTGAATGTAAAAATTTCCCCACAGGCTCAAATGCTTAACATTCTGTTTTGGAGTACTGTGAAAACTCCAGGAAAAGGAACCTTGCTGAAGGAAGTGGGTGAGTAGGGGTAGGCCTTGAGCATTTATAGCCTAGCCCCATTTCCTGTCCTCTTTCTGCTTCATAACTGTAGACACAATGCGACTAGTTACTTCATATCTCTTCTTAAACTGTGATCCCCAAATCCCTTGTTTCATCTCATCATATATTTGATCATAACAGTGAGAAAAGTAATGAATACAATTCCAAATGGTTCAGCAGAACCTAAACAACTCAAAGAGCCTCCAAACCAACAGGAAGACAAACCTGGAGGTGCACCAACTGAGGAGGAGTTTATCACGGGCCAGACATTGTCAAGAGTCCAAAACAGGAGCTAGACAGACGGCTCAGGGGTTAAAAGCACTTGCTGCTCCTACAAAGAACCTAGGTTTGGTTCCCAGCACACACTTTAAGTGGCTTACAACTGATTCTAACTCCAGGGCCAGGGGATCCAACTCCCTCTTTTGGCCACTGCAGGTACGTCCACATACGTGGTACACACAAACTCATACAAGCATATATGTATACATAAAAAAAATCTTTAAGAGTATAAACACTGCTTAGCTAAATAAATAAGGGTGAAAATATGAAGTGTTGTTGCCACTAGCTATTTCTTAAAAGGCTTTAAACAGAACTGCCATATATACCCAACAATTCCATTCCTAGGTATATACACAACAGGACTGAATACAGGAACGGAGACGGATAAGCACACACCAATAGTCTACGCAGAATCATTCAAAATAATCAAGCATCTTGTCTAACAACCTATCAATATATGAATGGATAAGTAACATGTAATATATGTGCATATATATATTCATCTATAGAAAGGAATGAAGTTCTGGTAGTCACTACATCATGGATGAGTTTTGTCAACCAGAAAACTCGAGCTTCAGAAGGGTAGAGAGCACTAGATTCGTAGTAAGCGTGAGCAGGCGTCGCTCTCCCTTCTTGACTCGGATGCATTGTGACTAGCTGTTCTGATTTCCTGCTGCCTTGACTTCCCTGCTGTGATGGACTACACTCAGGCTCGTGAGCTAAAATAAACCCTTTCTCCCCTAAGTTGATTTTTCATCAGGCTGCCTATCACAGAAATGCAACTGGAACACCAAGAGAATTAGAGGAGAGAAAATGAGGAGTTGTTGTTTAATGGTGTATGACAAACAGCTGAGGTAACATTAAGGCAGGAAAGAGTCCATTTGGTGGATGGTTTCAGAGCCTTAAGCTCCAGATCAGCTAGCTCTGTTGCTTTCTGGCCCGTGCAAAAGCTAACTATCTTGGAAGAGAGTGCATGGGGAGGAGCCTGACTCACATCAAAGAGGCATGAACCGAAGAGAGAGGAGAGAGTGCCAGGGAACCCACTTCCCTTCAGCGGCTTATCCTCAGTGATGTGACTGCTTTGCACAGGCGCCTCCTGCAGCTTCCACCGCCTTCCAAAAGTGATACGGCCCCGAAGACAAGCCCTCAGCATGTGGACCTCCGGGACAGTCGAGATCCAAACTATGGAACGGAAAAGGAGTTTTGGTTTGGAGTTGTGCAATGGTTTTGGAAACTGGTAATAACAGGAACTAAAGATTGTGGCTGTAACTAAAGCCACTTAATTTTACGCATAAAACATGCACACAATGATTGTTATTAGAAAGTGTCTGGTTCTCAAAGGAAAAGAAATACTTCTAGCATAAGGGAAATGAAACCCAAACAACTTCTAAAGGAGGCAGCCTGACTAGTGTGGTCGTCTTTTAAAGTAAGTGCAGTGTTCCATTTTGTTCTGGAATAAAATACGCGAGATTAGGAGTTGAGGAAGGCTCTAACAGGCTTTCCTGTCTCCATGCCTAATTCTATTTGTACATTTCTTCAACCGGAAACCCTGCCCCCTGAAGCAACGTTTGCTATCAGTGCTATTTTTATCTATTTTGAGAGCACCTGAAACTCAGCATACAGTCTCAGTCTTATTTGTTTGCTGTAACAAATACTAGATTGGCAAAAAAAAAAAAAATGTTTTTTGTTTGTTTGTTTGTTTGTTTAAGATTGTGCTGGTAGTGAAGTGTCCTATTGTTCAACTTCTACTCAGCTTACACCATTATAAACACCAGCGAATACCATTCAGCTCCTAGTGCCCGGTGGAGGGCAGCTCCCCTAGGGTGTGTCTGAGTTCTTCCTGTCACAGATGCTGCTGTACTCCAGTCCTGCATGATCACAGGTGCTGAGGCATCCACACCTGCAGCCACACTACAGAATGAAGACCTTCTTCAGGTCAGGGCTCACAGGCAGCCCTGCCGGGGAGTGCAGTGAAGATGCCACACTCCACCTCTAGATACAAGGAAAATGGTAGCAGAGATAGCAACCACATCACCACTCTTTGAACTGGTAAGACGTCACTGTGAGTAGGAAGCCGAAAAGCCAACACCAACACACACACACACACACACACACACACACACACACACACACACATTCACCTCAAGTGTCCACCAGTTTCTTTTCCCAGCTTCTCCAACTAACGCACTGGTTCCAAGACTTTTCACCTTCCAAGGGACGTCCTTGCAACATTTCGTTTTAATTAATTATTTTATTTTGACCTATATATCCTTTGCAGTTTTCCCCAGTGAGGACATCTAGCAAAAGTATCATACCATGTAAGTGACACTGATGGCCCAGGCAAAGAATGTGTCCCTCAACACAAATACTGTTTTTGCAGTTACGGCCATTTCCCCTCCTAAATCTTGGCAACCACTATTCTGATTCCTCATTCCTGTAATTTGCTCTTTCAGGAAATAGAATCGTGAAATCTTTTTGGATTGGCTGTTCTTGCTCTGGGAAATTCCCTGCAGGCTGGAGCTGGGTGTATTCACAACTCCTTCCCTTTTTGACTGCCTTAGTAGCACACTGTGGGCATTTTGTTCTGTTTTCCCAAACAGATGCAGTACCTGTGTGGGATAGGGTACAAGGCAGGAGGGTGCCTCCACAGCCCCCCTACATAGGCTTCCTGCCAGCCTCCTTCCGCAAGAAGCCAAACTGGGTCTGGCCACAACCACTGGAGCCCAAAGCCGGACGGAAATGGACAGGGAGACTAGGGGAGAGAAGACTGAAGTCCAACAAGCGCCGCACTGACTGGCCAGACAAGGAATTGTGGGCGGGATGTTGCCCAGAGGCGGCCAAAGGTCAGTGTGCAGGCGGGGCGAGGGGCTGGACCCAGCGAGGGTAAAGCCGCCCAGGACCCCAGTGCGCAGCCGCGGTGCCTGCAAGCGTGGTTTAGGCCTTTGTGCCCGGGAGTCTGGCAGTGTGCTGCGCTCCTTCCGTGAGGCAGAGGTGAGAGTCTGTTCACTGCTTCCCCAGGGCGTGCACGTCCTTCCCGCAAGCGATATTGGGGGAATACAGCACAGAAGAGGTACCTTCTGGTTTTTAGCTAGCAAAATAGACCGTGTCCCGGAGGTTCCTCTCTCCTTGAACCTTTCTACAGGATGAAGTATCTAGCGGATAAAGGTCCAGGTCTTGTTTCCCAGGAGCCGTTGCATTTCGTCAGCCCACTTCTGGATGGAGAACAGCTGCGGGTCTCTTCATGTTTTTTTACCAAAGGTTTCATAAAGTCAAAGCGGAGCCCAGAGCAGTTTGTACAGGGTGCCTTCCCTTACCCTGGCGTCTTAAGCAGCTGAGGTTCGCCTGCCTTCAAGGACGCTGGCTCGAAAGAAACACCAGCTTCTATAACCTTAATGTGAAATTAGCAGTTTTCAGTAATCTCTAATCTCTGGAAGCCTCAGCCACAGAGGTGCAGAAGACTGAATTTGTCTGAACCAGAGAAGTCTCTAGTATAGCAAAGAGTGTGTGTGTGTTTGGGGCGCGCGCGGGGGGTGGGGGGCGGCTTCTCGGGGAAGGAACCCCAAATGAGCACAGAAAGCAGGAGGGCAATAATGTCACCACAGGATGACATGTTAGCGGTAGAATGGCCAAATAGAGCCTGCTGGTGTAGAAAGAAGCACGGAAAATGACACACTAAAAATACCAAAATAATAGCTGCTAGATGTTAAGACAAAAAATTATGTTTATCTCTAAATATCAGAGCTCATTTAATGTGGCTTATGGGTTACAGGTTAACAGCCACAGCCCCCTGTTAAGTCCGAAATCACCATACAGAGACCACCATTTGAAGGCAGGTTTCAAACCACTTTACAAAATAGTGACCCTAGACAGGTGTGATAGGCCTTTTTATAGGAAACGAGGGGAGGGGAATAGGAGCAAGTGTTAGGTAATTTAAAACCTTATTGGTGGGTGCTGGGGAAATTACAAGGAAAGATTCCTGACTGGCTTGCATTCAGGTGGTTGATGGACTGCTTTTCTTTGTCATGAACGTTTAACTACAGGATGAGATAAGGCTGCCCGGCACAGTATCCCCCATCCTGAGATAAGACGTTTTCCCGTTCTTGTGGTTCTCTCCAGGCTGTACCTTGGTTAGGGGATTTTATGGTCTGTTTCTGGAACAGGTGACCTATGGCCTAGTCCCTGGGACTGGTGACTTTTCTTGTAAAGTCAGGCCTGGTCCTGAAAATGGAGACAAAATGGAGTTCATGCCGTCCTCTCACACCCACACACAGCAAAAACAAAGCAACAGCAAGAACAACAACAACAACACCTGGGTAAGGTGCAACTTCCATCTAAGGAGAACTATCAGTGCATGGCTGTATCTGAGGGTGAAGAACCTGTATCAAGAGACTTTGATGTTCCCATTTCTTACTCTGCAAGAGTTGAGTAAGGAAATTCAACTCTGATGCAACCACCTTCCATTTACTGTAGATGTGCAATGGGGCTGAGCAGTACAGCTAGGGGTGATGAGGCAAGGGTAGGCTGGAAAGTGAGTGTAGAGTGTGCCTAGAGGTGCTGCCGTGAGTCCTAACTAAGGTGGCTCTGGGCCCTCACTTGGGGAATCTCAGGCTGTATTTTGCTCATCTGCAGTGGCCATGGGAAACTCTGAAAAGTGCATCCAGCCTAAGGCCTTCTGTTATTCCTAGGATAAGATCTTTACCCTGCCCTATTTACTCAGTTATTCCCAAACCCCGCTCCTTGGCTGCATCGCAGGCCACTCACTTCAAACCAGAGCCCAGCTAAATAAAGTTTCTTGCTTTTTCTTGAACTCTCACAGGGTCGTTATTTGACTCCTGCCTGCTTGCTCTGCCGACTTCTCTCTTGCCCCAGGCTTTTGCGTGGCTGGCTCGATCTCCGTTTACTCACTGTCTCTGTTCTGACACCCCCTCTCTGATGGAACAGGCTGAGGAAATGTGGAATTGTGTTATCTACATAATGTTTAGTGACTGAGATATGAGAAAGTCACCTGATTAGTGCTTTGCCAGAGAGATAGAGCTTTTGATCTGCTCTGTAAACATGCAATGTAAACCAAGGTGGGGGAACACTGACTTTATTTTCTAATCCTTCCCCTCCACTTAACATCCATCCCTTACATGGGTAAACAAATGGGTCTGTCTCGAAATCATGTGTTTCAAATAGCCCAAGAGCCTCAGAATCTTGTGATTGTAGTCGGGATGACCTTGAACTCCTGACTCAGGGTTACTCGGCTTATCTGACAACATCCAAGCCCTGTTCAGATCCTTTTTGACTCTTGAGCAGATAATCAGAAGCAAAACTACAAAAGAACATAGTGATTTCTGTGTAATTTTTGAGAAGCTTCTCAGTTTTTTTTTGTTTTTTTTTTTCCGTAGCAACTGCACCATTTTACATTTTACCACCACTAATAACAGTCTCTTTGCCAGCAAGTCTTGCTGTTTTGATTTTAGCCATATTTCTCTAATGGCTAATACGCCTTTCACATACTTACTGAGTTCTTTTGTACAACTTTGGAGAAAAGTCTCATTAAGTCTTTACCCATTTCTAAGTTGGATTGTTTGGTTTCTCACGGTTGACTTTTACCTGTGGTTTGTTTTTGTTGTTGTTGTTTGTTTTGTTTTTTTCCTGCCAATAGCAGGAAATAGTGTAGATAAGTTACTTTCCTGTTACTGTGATAAAACATCTTGACCAAAAGTGACTTATAGAACAAAGAGGCTATTTTGGCTTATGGTTTCAGAGGGACTAGGAAGCATGTCAGCAAGCAGCAGGCTTGATGACCGAGCAGGGACCTGAGAGTTCACGATTTCAATCACCAGCAGGAAGCAAGAAGAAGGAATCAGAAGTGAGGCAAGGCTGTATAATCTCAAATCTTGTACCCAGTGATACGCTTCCTCCAGCAAGGCCCAACCTCCCCACAAGCTCTCCAAACAGCTTCACCAAATGGGAACCAAATGTTCGAATACTAAAGACTATGGGGGTATTTTTCTCATTCAAACCAACATATCTTGCCTCCAGAAAGCTGTTTTGGAGATGGCTAGCCAAGACAGTAATGACACAAGCCTCTTTGTTTTTGAAGTCCATTAGGGAGAACAAATTTATTCAGTATCTTTTACTGAAGGGGAAGGTACTAGAGATTAAATCCCAGACTTTGCACATGCTAAACGTATATTGTACCACTGAGTTCCACCCAAAGTCCCCTAGAATCATATTACATTACAGACACCTTTCTTACTCTTCTGGGTGACCCTGTGACTCTAGATCAGTTTTTCCCAACCTGTGGATAGGGACCTTTCTGGAGGTCAAAGGACCTTTCACAAAGGTGGGGTATCAGCTATCCTGCATATCAAATATTTATATTAAGATTCATGATAGTAGCAATATTACAGTTATAGAGTAGCGACAAAACAATTTTATGTTTGGGGGTCACCACAACAAAGGGTCGCAGCAGGAGGAAGGTGAGCCAGTGCACTAGATGGAAGACTGGGGCATGCCTTACTTACAGTTGAGCAAAAGGCCCAGTGATGTACGGTGACAGCCCTTTGACCTCTCTGGTGCCCTCCATCTTAGCCTCACTTACTGGCTGAAGAGGAAATCTTGGGGTGCAGGAAGGCTGGCTGAACAGGCACCACTCAATTTCTTGCCTGTGGCCCCTCTCCCAGGAACTCTTATATCTCCTGCTTGGAAACTTAAGTCCTCCCAGAAAACAGAAAACCTTGGTTTGGCATTGTGTGTGGTTTAAGACCGGGAAGCCTGTTTCTCCAGAGGTGGCCTGCCCTCTGAGAAGCTGCTGTGCAGATGTCTGTGAAGCAGCCACTTACACAGCCTATACTTGTTATCCTGATCTCACTTCTATCTTCCTTTCCTCCTGGAGTTTACTTTCTCTTCCAGAGTGTGACAGTCACCAAGGGGAGCGACAGTACCTGAAACTTTTGGCTACTATACCAAATCGGAGAATTCATTTCCTCCAACATGGCAGGTAATGAATGACCTGTTATGGGGGTGTTATACATTTAGTCAGAAATTGTACTATTTGTTATTAAAAAAATCCAAGAAACATAGAAGTATGGATTAACCCACTTGGTTTATGACATGGATCACTGGGTGTAATTATTTTCTTCTGTATTTTCTACTTCTTTGTCCATTTCAACCTCCTTCAGAAAAAGTGGGACACATGCCTATCCTGTCTTTGTCCAGAAATTATCCCAGGCCAAAAAGTTCTCAGGAAAGGGCACCTAGGAAATGAGCTTCTAGTTTAGAAGGTTGAAGTCCATCTTTACCTTTTCCCTCCCTTTTGCCATACTGGTGAACAAACCCAGTGTCACATGCATCGAAGCACATACTGTCATCAACCCACACCTCCAATGCTGCTTTGCTTTGCTTTTGTGTCTGCTTATTATATATATGCACACATCAGAGACATATACATAACTTTACAACACATTTTAAAACAGTAATATACAACACTGAAATTCTTTCACTCTACAACATGTAGTCTTACCTCACTGTGCATATTATAGTGTTGATTTGGGCTTTTCCTTTACTTTTACAATATTTAGTTATATGTGCATGCCAGACAAGAACTCTACTGAGCCATATTATGTCCTTCGTGCCTGGTTTTGGGTTTTTCACCCTCGGTACTGCTGATGTTTGAGGCCCCATCAGTTGTGTGGTGCCATTTTAGTTTCTGGGCTGTACCCATTAGATGACAGAAGCCGTCCTTCCATCACCAGTTATGACAATTAAAAACATCTGCATCTGACAGGTGTGCTCATGACTGGTTACACTGGTCCCTAGTTGGGAAACACTGATGTAGGTATTTTATTTGTGTTCATTCTCTTGGCAAGCCCTCCAAGTATAGTTCATTTACAGTTAGAAAGTGAAGTAAAACCTAATATTTACTCCAACACATGGAATTCAATCTTATCACTCAGATGAACGTCCTGAGACAGTTTGCTTCAAGGTAGCGTGTTTTCTATTCAGGATCTTAGACGAGAAAGTTCAAATCAAGAGTTTAACATGTGCCAGAGAGTAATGATCAAGTTCTTGCCAAGCACACATGAGAGCTGAGTTCAGATCCCTAGCACCCACCAAAAGCCAGCCACAGGAGCACTCATCTGTAAGCCCAACATGCAGACAGGCATTGCTGGAGCTCTCTGACCAGCCAATCTAGCCAGATCAGTTCAGTGAGAGACTATCTCCCAAAATAAGGTAGAAAGCCACTGAAGAAGACACCTGGCCTCCATTCACCTGTGCACACAGATATGCTCACACACACAGACAAGTCTGTGTGTGAATCTGTGTGTATGCATATACTGGTGCACTTGCCTGTGGGCACATGAGAAGGCCAGAGGTTGACATTGAGATTTTGCCTTCCTCACTCATTCTCCACCTGATTTTTAAAATTATTTTATTATGTGTATCAGTGTTTGCATGTATGTCTGTGTGCCACAGGCATGTCTGGCACCCTCAGAGGTCAGAAGAAGACATTGGAGCTCCTGAAACTATAGTTACAGATAGTTGAGAACTGAACCCAGGTCCTCTGGAAAAGCAGCCACTGAGCCATCTCTCCAGCCCTCTTGACCTTATTTTGTAAATACAGGGCCTGTAATGGAATTTGGAGTACACTGTTTGAGCTAGACTGGCTGGCCAGTGAGCTCCCGGCATTCTCTTGTCTCTATCTTCCCCGTGCCACCAGGTACTAGGGTTATGGCATGTGCTGATGCCCTTGGCTTTGGGTGTTGGGATCCAAAATCATGCTTGTTCATGATAGAGACAGCGCTTTCATGACCTGCTCTTAGAATCTTGTCTCAATGTCACTACAAAAAGATAGGTTCCACATGGCCCTGTCTCCTGCAAGAGGCCAGGGTCAGCTTCGTCCTATTTTATTTCAGCATCAGGTGTTCAAGGACCTGGGGGAGATGGAATCAGAATACACAGTCTGAAAGGTGTCATTATTGTTGATGGCCAATGTAGGCATAAGAGATTAATTCTTATTTTTTTGTTTTGTTTTGTTTTCTGTTGTAGAGCAAGGCTAAAACTTGTCATGGAACAGGCTTTTTTAAAAAAAATTAGTATGTTTTCTAAGAAGACATAGTTTGGTTCATTGTATTAATGAATAAAGGCTGACTATCATAATTAAAAATATAGTTCTGAGCACATGATTACAAAATCTCCAAATTTTGAACTTTCAAAGTTGGGGTGTTTGACTTACTTACAAAGTCTATACAAATATTTCAAAGCCAGGTTCTAAATCATTCCTAATCCCAAGCATTTTAAAAATAGAAGCCATTCAACTTGTATTAGTGAGTCTAGCTGCAGTGTCCTATAATGGCACTAAAGTACTGTTTTGTCACCCATTAAAAAGGTTGATTTTTTTTTTTTTTTTTTTTTTTTTTGGTTCAAAGCAGTCTTGTGCCTATACATCAGTTTCACCGTATTCTTCTCTGGTTTAGGATTTGTTCTTCAAAGGAAACATCTCTTCCCTTGATATAGGTAAGAAAGTGCTCATTGTCTATGCACATCAAGAGCCCATGTCCTTCAATGGGTCCCTGAAGAAAGTGGCTGTTGAAGAACTGAGCAAGCAGGGGTGTGCAGTTACTGTGTCTGACTTATACACCATGAACTTTGAGCCGAGGGCCACAAGAAACGATATCACTGGTGAGTCCGCAGTATCTAACTGTTGCCCGTAACATCAAGTCTCAGGTCAAGAGAGTCCACAGTGCCAGTCTTTGTCATCCCTGTCCCCAGAAACCAAATCCCTTTGCTTTCAAGGTAGCGAGGTTTCTTTTAATAGAAGGATTTTTCTATCTTAAATTATGTCTACGTGTGTGTCTCTGTGAGAGTAGGTACATAACCATTCGGTTGCCTACAGAGGCCAGAAGTGAGCATTGGAAACCCTACAGCTAGAGTTACAGGCAGCTGTGAGCCTCTGGACGTAGATGCTAGGGCTTGAATCTGGGTCCTCTACGAAAGCAGTATGTGCTTTTAACCACTACACCTCTCCAGCCCGTTTCTGTTTCTTTTCAGAGGTATCTGCTACATAAGCAAGTGTGAGGGTTGTGTTAGTCAGCTTTCTCAGCTCTCACAGAACACTTAACACAACCAACTTGAGAATAGATTTATTTGGGCTTGCAGTTCTAGGACAGTGGCTGGGTCCATTTGGATCCTTGCTGCAATGGCTTCTAAGTACGGGGAGCTTGAGCACATTGAAACTAATTCTGGGGAAGCAGCTTCCTGTGATTTCCGTTATGATCAGGTTGCACAGACGCATACTCTTCTCAAGGGAAAAAGTTCAAGTAAGTTTCCTCTCTCGTACCTGTAAGCCTGCTATGGATGGGCTCTCCTGAGATGTCATTAAGGGATTTTTCCTACTGTGTGCTGTCTAGGTTTGTGTGAACTTGACGAAAGCTAGATTCATCGGAGAGGAGAGAACCTAGATTGAGAAAAATGCCTCAGGAAGATCAGGTTGAAGGCAAGCGTGTAGGGCATTTTCTTAATTAGTGATTGATGGGGGAGGGCCCAGCCCACTGTGGGTGGTGCCCCTCCTGGGCTGATGGTCCTGGTTCTATAAGAAAGCTGAGCTGAGCAAGCCAGGAGGTGCAAGGCAGTAAGTAGCATCAGCTCCTGCTTCCAGATTCCTGCCCTGTTTTGAGTTGTGTTCTGACTTCCTGCAATGATGAATAGTGGTGTGGAAGAATAGGCCCTTTAACCCTTTCTTACCCAAGTTGCTTTGGTCTTGATGTGTCATTACAGCAATAATAACCCTAACTAATGACAGAACTTTGTGCCAGGAATGGAGTATTGCTGTGACAGGCTTTTAGCCATGTTGGTTTTGGAAAGATTGTGGAAGGACTTTGTAACTTTGGGCGAAAAAAGCCGTAGAGTGTTTGAGTGAGAAAAATTTGATGAGGTGTTCTGTGGGGGCTTGGAAGAAAAGAATGTTGAGAGACATGCCCATGATGGAAGTCTGATTTGTGAAGTTCTAGAGGGAAGTTTGAAAGTTAATTAAAGACTGTTTGAGGCCATTGGATATTTACTATTTTGAATTGAGATTCTGTAGTTCTGGTCAGCGGGGCTGAAGAGTCAGCCATGATTAGCAAGAGACCAGCACCACTGAAGTGAAATCTTTACTGAGTATATCTTAGTCACAGTTTTATTGCTGTGAAGAGACACCAGGACCAAGGCAACTCTTATAAAGGAATTTCTTTAATTAGGGCCCTGCTTACATTTTCAGAGGGTTAGTCCATTATTCGTGGCAGACAGCATGGTGGCATACAGGCAGGCATGGTACTGGAGAAGTAGCTCAGAGCTACATCCTGCTCTGCAGGCAGGGAGTTAGATACTGGATCTGGTGTGGGCTTTGAGATTTCAAAGTGACCTTTTGACTCACCTCATTCCAGTGACACACCTCCTCCACAAGACCACATATCTTCATCTTTCCCAGTCTACCAACTGATGACTAAGTATTCAAATCTATGCCTACAGGGGCCAATCTCTTTCAAACCACTACACTGGTATAATTGATGCTGGCTAGCTAGAGCCGAGAAACTAGCAGTAATTAAAAAGAAACCAGCATCACTGAGGTAAAATCTTCTGGGAAGTGTTTCCTGAGAATCAGCACACCAAAGTAATCTATATCTATGTCTATATCTATACCCATTCCTTTATCTATCTATCTATCTATCTATCTATCTATCTATCTATCTATCTATCTAACTATCTAATTTATTGTCTGATCAAGTTAGGTCACTGTTACTTCCTAGTGTTTGAAATTATTTTTACTTTAGCTTTCCATAAAGCCTTTTAAGTCAACATTCCAGATGGAAAAGAAATCCGTTGTCATTTTTGCTGAGGTCCATTAAGTATAGAGGTGAACTTAGGAAGACTTCACCTTCTGTGGTGCTGCTTTCTTGCTCTCCAAGAGAAATGATGTGACCTTTCATTTGCTTTGCATTCTCTCTCCTTTCCTCTCCCCCTTTCTTCAAGTTTACTGACATGTTTTATCAAAAGGATGTTGATAGGTGTGTACCCAGTCAACCCTAACTTTCTTATTGTTAGTAATGCTTTAATTGATTCTATGAAGTTCTCCAGACATGTGAATAACTGTCTGCAAATAATAATTTCGCCTCACTTTTTTGACAATAACGCTAATTTCGATCTCTTTCCTTGATACAGGTAAGAAAGTGCGGATTGTCATGCACCTGCAGTTGTGTAGACCAGACCTCCAGATCCAGTCCGTAATGTTCATCCTGATCTTTCCTTCTTTTTGTATTTATGTGTATGTGTGTTTGCTTGCTTGCCTGTATGTACACCACAGTCATGCAGGTATCCGAAGAACAGGGATAGGGTGTCAGAACTCCTGGAATTTGAGTTATGGGAGGTTATGACTTGTCTTATTTGGGTGCTAAAAACCAAACACTGATCCTCTGCAAGAACACTAAGTGCTCTCAACCACCTAGCCATCCCCCCCCCCTTTTTTTTTTTTTATCAAATACATCAGTTCAGGCTGGGGATATATCACAATAGTTGAATGCTTGATGAGCAAGGCCAGTACAATTTTCTCTTAATAAACAGCAGCACAGGGACTAAGAAAATTGAAAGTAGGATAAGGAATCATCATTTTAAGCTAATAAACTAAGACATATTTCATGCCAAATACAGGTGATAAGATTAAAAGTACAAGCGAATACTACACCATTTTATATTCAACCGCCAATTTTATTATGTGCAGGAAGTGTCAGAACCAGTTCTCTTGGATACTGAAGGAACACTGTAAGTGCAAAGGACCTAAGTGGACTTGAGCTAAATGTAATGTGGTGGCCACACCCCGTCTGATAACATCTCCAGTACATCCCAACTTCTTCCCTAAGGCTTTGATGAGCCCGGACCACATAGCAGTTTTTGGAAGGCTGGGACAAGCTGGAGACACTCATTTATGAGTGAAAAATTGACTTCTTCCTTCCTAGGTGCCCTCTCTAATCCTGAAATCTTCAGATATGGGATAGAAACCTATGAAGCCTACAAGAAAACAGCTCTGTCCAGTGACATACTTGAGGAGCAGAGAAAGGTGCAAGAAGCTGATCTAGTGATATTTCAGGTTTGTTTTTTCCTCAGATGAGTAGATTCTTCCTATGAACAAAGACTTGAACATTGAGTTTGGAACCAGTACTTTTTGGCACATATATACAATTACTTGAAATATCTCTCCTAGATATAACCCTAGTTAGAACAATTGTACAGAGAAACCTGGTTCCTAGCTAGCTGGCATGTCTGGAACAGTGACTTTGGGAGGATGAAAGCAGCAAGACTGGCATGATTCAGATGCTTCTGGGAACAATGGGCATGGTTACATTCTTTATTCATACTGACTCAGGGAGTCAGGGTTTTCAGTAACATTGGCTTATAAGGATCTCTTTATCTTTATTTTAATACAGATTTCTCTGTATTAATTGCTTACCAAGGCAGTTTGAGCCAGCTTCTTCACTAAATGCCCTAACCATTAACAGGACAACCTTGTTTCCATCCTCTGACATTACATACATATCAATGTGTACACAGAGAGAGAGGGGGAAGCGGCTACAAAAGGAACTAGCCCAACAGATTGACTTCTGGGAGCACTAACTCATCTGGCCACTCCTGCCAGAACTTGAGAGGGAGCAGTTAACATGTATCCGGGTAGTCATATAAGCATGTGCTTCCAAGGGATTGTTACACTGACTAAAATCCAAGTCAAACTCAGAAGGAAGGGGAGCACAGTCTATAAGGGCTCTGCTCACTTGAGTCCTTTGGGCAGGAATGGCCAAGGCAGTACTTCTGGAGTGCTCTGCTCACCCCAGCTTTCCATCATCCCAAGGATATCACTGTTTTTCACTTCCTATCTTAATTTCAGTTAATACTGCTGATGAAACACCATGACCAAAAACAAGTTGGGGGAAAAGGGGGTTTATTTGGCTTATACTTCCGCAGCTGAAGTCCATCACTGAAGGAAGTCAAGACAGGAACTCAAACAGGGAGAAAATCTGGAGCTGATGCAGAGGCCAAGGAAAAGTGCTGCTTCTTGGCTTGTTTCCCATGGCTTGTTCAGTCTGCTTTCTTATAGAACCCAGGACCACCAGCCCAGGGATGGTATCATCCACAAATGGTCTGCTCCCCACCCCAATCACTAATTAAGAAAATACCCTACAGGCTTGCCTACAGCCTGATCTTATGGAGGCATTTTTCTAGCTGGACTCTCTTCTCTCAGGTGTCTTTAGTTTGTGTCACGTTGACATAAAACTATCTAGCACACCTCCTCTCTGCCTGCTCTCAGCATAGCATAAGAGGCTGTCATCAGGAGATAGTCTCCAGAGTAGCAGCTGGGCCACACTCATCTCTGCCCTTCACTCCACTGTGCCCATGTTGTGTCCCCACTGAGATCATCCTGTAGGCTACCTTTATCTACTGGGTGCCCTGGGAGGAGAGGCCAGTCGGAATAAAGTATGAATCCTGAGACATAATTTGCCTCTGCTTGTTCCATTTCCAGTTCCCACTATACTGGTTTAGTGTTCCAGCAATCCTGAAAGGCTGGATGGATAGGGTGCTGTGCCAAGGTTTTGCCTTCGACATCCCAGGCTTTTATGACTCCGGTTTTCTCAAGGTAAGTGCTCTGGAGATAAAACAGATCTAATCAGTGGGAAGAAGGTGAGGGCATCTATCAACTTATATTTCTAGTTTGCATTTTTGTATTAGGTAAGTAAATATTCGTTAAGCAGTTAACTATGCACAGCACACTTCATGGATGCTCAGTGCATCCTTTTTCAATTCACAGAGCATTTTGATAGTGGGGGATGTGTATCCACACTAATCTACACATGAGGCAGATGAAGTGTGGGGCTGAGTACTGGGCAAGAGTGAAGTGGGTAAGGACATGGACAGTGCCATTATCGGCCAGGGTACCAACTCTGTGACAGTCTGGCTTGTTTTATACCAGTTCACACCTTTGGGTTCCATATGCCCACCTGGGGGGTGGGGGCTAACCACACAGCTCCTATATTGTAGGGGAGAGGGTCTAAAACCTCATAGGTACCATGTATAGTATCTGTATATTATTGAGAGAACTTCATACTAAGCAAGTGGCTTTAAATTCTAAAAGTTTCTAAAATTAAATGTACATGGAGAAAATGAACCAGGTACCCAAGATGCTGCGCTGCATTGCACGGTCATCCTGTGCATTACCTTTCCGTTAGTCCTGTGGGATCTCCGTTCTCATGAAACCCAGTCCTCCAGGAGTCTTGCATGTTAGAAGTTTAGTATTCACTTGTCCCTTCTGCTGTCAGGCATTAGCTGTCATCTCTAGATGGGCCTATGGGAAATGGGAGGATTACATCTGTTTACCCTGGAAGGAACCTGACCTCAGACTCCCTTCTGGCCACCATAAACCTCAGTACTACATCACAGGAGCAGTTTCCTCTTATTGCAGTCACATGATGCATTTACCTTTTCCTCTGCTGCAGGGTAAATTAGCCCTCCTTTCCTTAACTACCGGAGGCACAGCCGAGATGTACACAAAAGCGGGGCTGAGTGGAGATTTCCGGTACTTCCTGTGGCCACTCCAGGTAAATAGGCCTTGAGAACCTTGTCTGCTTTTGCTGGCCCATTGGACACCCCCCTCCCTGCACCTTACACACACATAGACCTTGTAAGCTTGACACTCCATACTATTTTGACTCCCAACTAGATGGAGAAAATAATTAACATTTTTGTCCTTATTTTATTTTACAAATTGGTAGCAGTTTAAAGGTTGGCTAAGAGGGAAAACGTACAACTTTTGATAATGCTTGACCCAACGTTAGGCCAAACCTGGCTAGGCCTGAGGTGGCACCAGGTGTGTGGGTATGAGTGATGAGCAACAGCAAGGCCTGGAGAGTCCTTTCCAGAACAGTGCTCTCTAAAGCACCACCCTTAACCTTGGTGAGAGGTACCACAGACCCTGTGATATGGACAGTGTCACTTGGGCCTCTGAACACCCTGAACAGATGAGTAGCTGAAGAGTAGCCTTCTACAGAAGGGAAAGGCAATGGCAGAGTGAGTTCCAGCAGGCTAGGATGCCTGTGTGTATGGAACTCCCTGGTAAGGGACAGACAGCAAGAGGCAGACTTCAGGGCAAAGACTCTTAGGAGAACTGGAAACCTAAATGGAAGTGCTCTTTGGATGGTGAGGAGAACACCTGTCCAGTTGTGAGGAAAGCTTGTATTAATAGCTGGAAAGACTGCTGTTGTGAACATAGACATTGAGGAAGATGCTGCAGGTAGAAGTCTGTGGAGGAATAAGTGTTTAGTGTACCCAACGCCTTGAGTTTGAGCTCCAGTTCCCCGTAAGCTAGTTATGGTAGTGCATGCCCATAATCACCACATGGGAGGTGAAGGCAGGAGGATCAGAAGTTCAAGGTCATTCTCAGATACACAAGTTTAAGGCCTGCTTGAGGTATAGGAGTCCTTGTCTCAAAGTAATAAATAAAAATTAAGAATTGTCCCTTTTCTTTCTAGGTTCACATTTCTTACTCATTTCCATTGAGATGTTGGCATTTTTAACTGATTTGCCAGCTTTCTCTATATTAGTAAAAATTACGCTATGGTGTCTTCAAAACACTTAAGAGTTTTCTTCATATGTGTGTGTGTACATATATATATACATATACATGTATATACATATATATACATGTATATGTATATTCCAAAGGCAAGTTCATTCCTTGCCTTTGTTGTTTACTTTCATGTTTGTGTTATGGATGTGTCTATGTGTGTGTGTGGATGTACTTGCCCATGCATGCAAGTGTGTGTGTGTGTGTGTGCACGCACTTGCCATACATGCATTTGTATGTGTGTGCAGATGCACTTGCCATACAAGCATGTGTGAACGCTGCAGGTCAATTTCAAGTTCTTCATTGATAACTTTCCACCTTAGTTTTTGAGGTCACATCTCTCACTGCTCCTGGTGCTTACTGATTTGGCTAGACTGAATTGCTCGTCTCTGCCCTCAGCAATTACACTGGCGGGTTACAGAACCATGCTGCCATACCCAGTGAGTGTTCTTAACTGCTGAGCCATTTCTCCAGCCCCTAAAAATGGACTTTGAAGCTGACTTCCAATAAATGATGTCATCTGAGAGAAAGTAATTTAAAAACACACATGTGGGCTTTTGGTCCTCTAACTCCACCTGGTAGGGAAAGCTCGGGTGTGGGTGTGAGTTTTAAAGAGCATAGTGAGGAAGTGTGATATGTATAGGGTGAAGCCAGGCTCTTTTTGAAAGACAATTTTAGTGAGTGGGGTAGTGGCGCTCCATTAAGGGCAATTACAAGCTGTGAGCTTCCTTCTCCGAATGCTAGTTGTTCTCATACATGTCATTTACTAATCTCAAATCTTGTTTTAAAATTATGTACTTTACCCCAGTTTGTAATAACAGGTAGGAAAGGTAAACAATATAAAACATTTAAAATCCCACTTAATCTATACCTCCAGCAAGAATTACTTGTAGCATTTTCTAATGTCCTAGATAAATCTTTCATAAAATGTCTGTTACTAGTCTATTATTATTTTACATAAAAAGTATACAACAAATACTGCTTAAAATTTGTCTTGATATAACAAATACAGTCAACAACTTTCTACAGCAGCACATCACAGCTAAAATAACGTCTGTACATACCACTGAATATAGCATAATTTGCCAAATCCATCAAAACTGTAATCTTGGTGATGGACTCATTAGTAAAGATCTGTCTGAATTCCAGCTGCCAGATTCTTCTGCTAACGGAGCACTCTATTCTGCCGCTATATGGTAGTGGGTTGTTATCAGTTACTTTATAGCATTTGTGTCTTAATTTTTGAAGGCTTCAACACGTCGTTTTCCCCTTTACTAAATTTAACTGAATGTACATAAAGAGTGGTAATGATCAGTTCTTTCCTTTCCGGCTTTAGCACGGTACCCTGCACTTCTGTGGATTTAAAGTCCTTGCCCCACAGATCAGTTTTGGTCTTGATGTTTCATCAGAAGAAGAAAGAAAAGTGATGCTGGCATCATGGGCCCAGCGACTAAAGGGCATCTGGAAAGAAGAACCCATCCACTGCACACCCTCCTGGTATTTCCAAGAGTAGCATTTTGTACTCCGGGTACAGCTAACAAGCACCACAGTGAGAGGCCTAAAGCATGTGCAGAGAAGGTGGCCTGTGTCCAGAGATGTAGGCACCATTGAGTGTCTCCAGTTTTACACAACTAGAGCAGATGTTTCAAAAATCAGCTTGTTACACTGTGTTAGTTCTGCCTGGTCATTACTCACTCATTTTTCAGTTTTGTAATGTTTCTCTAAAATCTCTCTTGCTACTTCATAGTATAGTTTTCTGAACATGGAGGTACATTTGTTTGTTGTTTCATTTTCTTTAACTTGATTGTTCTTTTTAACAGGAAAGAGGACCATTTGCAGCTAATGTTTTAGTGCTAAATTTCAATTTACTTTTTTTTCTTTTGGCTTGGGGATTATTATGTTTTAATTGAAAAGCAGGCTAGTATTTTTTATCATTAAGTATATACAGTGAAGATTTTTTTTATCATTAAGTATATCAAAGCCTTTGATAGTATTCTACCACTGTTTTAATGATCCTGAAAAATGGGCACAGACATATGGAGACATCTCCTACCCCTCAATGTCATCACTATTGAAGAGAAGGCTGTTGCTACTTCCCAAGGCCTTTCTTCCTTAGCATTCTTGATACTACCCACAATTGCCTCATCAGATTCCTTGCTCAGTTTTCAATTAGAGTTATCATCTTCAAATGATTTCTATCTGCAGTTTCTTTATATTCCTTTTACCAGCATCCTTTTCAAAACCTTATTCATTAAAACATTTATTTAGTGTATGCATGCACACACATACCACTGGGTGTGAGTGTGTAAGTTGTAGTGATTTGAAGGATGTGGCTCCATAGACTCTCAGCTTGAATACTTTGTCCCCAGTTGGTGGAACTGTCTGAGAAAGATTGGAAGGTGCGGATGCAGTGTGTCTCTGGGGGTAGGTTTTGTGGCTTTAAAGGACCAGTGTCATCCCCAGTGTGCCCTTTTTGCCTCCTGCTTTTGGATCGAGATGTGAGCTCTCAGCTGTTCCTGCTTTTGCTCTGCCATCATGGACTCTAGCTCTCTGAAAGCATAAGACCTATCAAGTAGTTTCTTTTATAAGATGCCTTGGTCATGGTGTTTTGTTAAAGCAAAGAAACCTTAACTAGTATGAAAGTCAAAGGACAAGCTGATTTCTATCGGTTCTCTCCATCTATCCTGTTCCAGAGGCTTAATTTAGGTCACAAGGCCTTTGCTGAGCCATCTTACCAGCTCCAGACTCCTTTTCATCTGTACGTTCACTTTTTGTCAATAGATATTTTTTCCAAATGTATCTTTCTTTGTCTTCCAAGTTTTTTTTTTTATCAAATACTCAGTGCCTTCACTTTCAAATTGATTTTTCAGAGCCATTTTTTCTGTTGTTTTTCCAGACCACTTTTTTCAGTTTTTTATTTAAATGTTTTCATACAATATATTGATCATATTCTTTTCCTCCCCTACTTCCTCCACACCTTTCTTCCCACTCTTAAAAAAGAAAGAAGGAAAAGAAAAGAAAAGAAAAGAAAGACAAACAAAATCTAGTAAGACACAAAATATCAAGACAAAAACAGCAAAAATCCCACCAGAACAAAAAGTGCAGTCTGTTCTAGGTTGGCCAACTACTCTTGGGCATTAGGTCTGCCGTGGAATGTGGTTGATATACCCAGTGAGACTCCATTGAAGAAAACTTATCTCCCCCTTTTCAGCAGGCATCGATTACAAATAACTTTTTGGTTAGGGGTGGGTCTTTGTCCACGTCCCCTTCTCAGTGTGGAAATTTTGTCAGGTTTGAACCTGTGCAGGCCCTGTGCTTAAATGTTTACTTATGTGTATGAGTGTTTTGCTTTATCTATGTGCACCACTTTTGTGTCTGGTGCTTGCAGAGGCCAGAAGAGGCCCCTCCGTCTCTCAAACATTTGTGAGTAGCCATGTGGATGCTGGCAATCACACCAGATACTCTGGAAAAAGAGTACTACATGCTCTTAACCAACTAGCCACTTCTCTAGCAGTGTCTAATGGGGCGGGGGGGATGAGTACATGGAACCTTTAGGAGTCAGTTTTCTCCTTCAGAGACTGAACTCTGGTTATCAGACACCATTACCTGCAGAACCTTCTCCCCAGCCTTTAAGTACTTTTTACCAACCCGCAAGCTGCTTTTCGGAGCAGTCTTCAGATTCTCCTTCTGCTGTAGTTCTTTCTGTGGCTATGATAAAATACTCTGACCAAAAATCAACTTAGATGAATAAAGGTTTGTTTTAGCTTTCAACCCAGAACATGGGGATGGAGACATGGCTCAGCACATCAAGGCAGGAACCCAAGGTGGGAAGGCAGGCCTGCTACTTTCCATACATCCTTACCTCTGACCAAGAAATTGGTTTCATAGCCACAAAGTATAACAAGAATCATGGAAGAGGACACTTGCTAGTAGCTTACTTCATAGACTTATACTCAGTGAGCTTTATATTTTTCTTCCTTTTTCTTTTTATTTTTTGAGGCAGGGTCACACTATGTCACCCTGGCTGGCCTAGAGGATTTCTCTATTTAGCCTAGGCTGGCCTCAAACGCACAGATCTACCCTCCTGTGCCTCCTGAGTGCTATGATTAAAGGTGTGAGCCACCATGCCCAGATTTATACACAACAGTAGGCTAAGCCCTCCATCAGTTATCAATTAAGGCAAGCCCCCACATACATGGCACAGGCCAATTAGATCTAGACAGTTCCTCATCTGAGGCTCTCTTCCCAGAAGACTTTGGGCTGTGCCAAACTGACAGTTAAAGCTAACTGAGAGTCCTCTTAAGATATATCTAGACATTTTCCAAGCCTGTCTTGGACCTTCTTGGTCCTCTTTCTTAGAGCATTTTAATATCTGAAGTATCTTCTTCAAAATCTCTCCATCTTCTGTTTGTCCCCCAAGAATCTGTTTATGTATGGGTTCCTCAAGTGCCCTTTCAGAGGTAGCTTCTTAGGTGTCCATTCTGCACATGCTGGTTGTCCAAAGAATCCCTACTCTAGAAAGCCTGCTGAGGACTGGAGAGATGGCTCAGAGGTTAAGAGCACTGGTTGCTCTTTCAAAGGTGCTGAGTTCAGTTCCCAGCAACCACATGATGGCTTGGGACCATCTATAATGAGATCTGGTGCCCTCTTCTGATGTGCAGGTATACATGCAAGCAGAAAAGTGTATACATAATAAGTAAATAATTCTCTGGTGGATGGGGAGATGTCTAAGCAGCTAAGAGCACTGACTGCTCTTCCAGAGGACCTGGGTTCAATTCCCAGCACCCACACGGCAGCTCACAGCTGTCTATAAATCATGTTCCAGGGGATCCGACACCCTCACGTAGACATACATGCAGTCAAACACCAATGTACATAAAATTATATATATATATATATATATATTTTTTTTTTTTTAAGCCTGCTGTGTATGAGCTAAGATGTAACAGAAATACTGCATGTTTGTGTTGGCTCCAATAACATTCAATTAATCTTCCCATCATCTCAGCCTGGCCTCTTCACATGGTTCTTTATAAACTCATTCTGTGTTTGGATGAGAGTTTCTAGCCACCAGGCCTCCATCAAAGGTTTGACAGCAATAACTACCTGGCCCTACATTCCCCCAGCATGCAGAAGTTAATCCTGGGCTTCTGACAATAGGACTTTTTCAGTGGTCATTGCTCTGGTGTCTCTTCTATGACTGCAGATACAGGCCCAAGCTTATGGTAAGAAACTGCAGGTTTATGATGCCAAGGAAAAATAGGCAGTGCCAGGACAAATGTCCTAGATATGCATCTTTTTATCTGTCAAGACTCACGAATAGGTTTGACAATTCAAACCCCTCAGTTTGCTTAGCAAATTGTAGCCACAGTGAGCATGGAAGGTGGAGAGACAGCACCCCCCCCCCCTTAGAGCCTCATTCTGGAGTCCTTGTGAATTACTGGGCACTAGAGTACTAGGAAGTAGGAATTCTGCCCTGGTCCTCCAGCTCCCCATTTCCAGTACTGTAAGAGGACAGGAATTGTGAATGGAGGGAACCTTGCTCCCTTCCCAGGTTGCTCTGGCAGGGGTGTAGAGATCAAAGAACAACTTTCAGGAGTTGGGTTCTTGTTTTCCACCTTGCTATGGCATGGGTGCACCTGAACTCACATGTGTGTGTACACACACATCCATACATGCTAAATAAATAAATGAATAAATGAAACCCCAGTTCTGCCTCATATTGGCTAGTCCTGAAATTAATGTGTGTGTGTGTGTGTGTGTGTGTGTGTGTGTGTGTGTGTGTGTGTCAAAGCCAGAAACCCTAGTTTGACCTAAGTTGAGATCCCTTAAAAGATTAGGAATACTCCTTGGACAATAGACTAATGCAGTAGAACAGAGGATCCAGAAATAAGTCCATGAAACTACAGCCACCAGATCCTGGGCAAAGAAAATGAGAGAAATATTCAGCCTCTAGTATCTACATGTAGAAGAACGAAACTAGATCCTTGTCTGTCACCATGCAGCTTAAATTATACTAAAGACCTTAATGTATGACCTGAAACTTTTAAACTACTAAAGAAAAACACTTCAAGATCTAGGCATAGGGGCTGGAGAAATGGCTCAGGAGTTAGGAGCCAGGACTGCTTTTGAAGAGGACCCAAGTTTACTTCCTGGCAACTACCTAGGACAGCTTACAACTTACCTGTAACTTCTATTCCAGGAGATCCAACACCTTTGACCCCCACAGACACATGCACATATCTGGTGCTTGCATGCCCATGTGCACACACACCCCAATACACACACAGTTTTTGGTGTCTTTCTTTCTCTCTCTCTTTTTTTTTTTAATTAACTCTTAAAGGATCTAGACATTAGTGATGATTTTCTGAATAAGACTCCAATAGCTCTGGCAATAACAAAAACTGAATTCCAAATACCTGACCTGCCCTGTTGATCTGAGAAGGCCACTTGGCCCATGATGTGCCTGAAGCAACAAAAGAGCTCCCAACAGCAAAGCTTGTATGTGATTAGCTTGCTCCTAAATATTTGGGGCTGTGTATCTGATGCCCTCTTGTGGCAGTCTGAAGGAAGCCTTCGGTTTATCTACCATGGGGCAGAGGGCATACAGAAGGGCTTCCAGGCCCAGCATCCCGCAGGGTAACTCCTACTTCCTGAGGTTTCTGCACATTTAAGTGAAGGGTTTCCCTTTTGCAGCTGTATGTCCTGGCATCCAGCCTATCCTCTAGCTCTGAGAAAGCAGCCACAACTGGGCCCTTGTGATAATACTTATTAAGAGCTAGTTCTTATTACAGAAATGAAAACAAAACTGGAAATAATGTTGAGCTAGAAGTAACCAAAATCCATGCCCCATCCCAGAAAAATTTTAGTAGTTACCTGATATTACCTTCTAGGTGATGCTTTGAGGGCTGACTAACTGAATACTTTTGGATGGAGTCAAAGGCAAATCTCGTTGCACTGTGTTTCTTATGTCATGACAACCTAGACAATGATGAGACATGCTAAGTCCAGTATCTCACAGAATAAACAAAGTACAACTAAAGGGTAGGAAACACAGGTGGGAAAGGCATTAATCCAGGAGGAACATCTGTTTTACTTAGAGGATGAAATTGGTTTAGTAGTTCTAAGAACTGATATTCTGGTGAAATGAGGAGCATTGGGCTTTTCACAAGAAACTCCCTCCTCTAATTTTCCACCACAATTTGAACCTGCCACAGTAAGAAATCAGAAACTATAGGTACTGAATTACAAGGGAAAATGATATTCTATATATTTTGCCCTCACACTGAGAGAGGGTTCCTTTAAAAAAAAAAAAAAAAACTGGTATAAATGTTCTCCCAAGAACATTTAGAGTGCTGTTTACTTGTAGGGGGAGAAATTCCAGGCTAATCCTTGCTTACCTTTGTTACTTCCAGAGGGAGCTGCAGGTTCAGTATGGGACTCAGGCCAATCCAAGAATGCCATACTTCTGTGGTGTTCAGGAGATGACTTTGGCCTCTAAGGCTGCATCATAACGAAGAAAAGCAAAAGTAGCATGGTGAGCCCAGAGGCCACATGCTTTGGAAAAGAAAAGTTCACCACATGCCTCTTGCTGTTTTGAGCAATAATGTTCAACACACACAGAGTTAGCTACTGAAACATACAGAGTTGTCTAGAAATCCTGCAAATGTCAATTGCCAGTATATGGCCTGTCAGCTCCCCATCTACCTTAATATCTTCTCTAAAAGCAAGTAGAAATTTAAGCATCCTTCACTTGGGAAGTGTTTTGGAGGAACAGGAAGAAGAGACCCTAAATGACTTTCCAGTGCATGCCCACATGCTATGTGGAATAAGGATCTCTAGGGAGCCTGCCCACATATGAACCTGGGCCTAAACAAACCTAGCTTTGGACACTCTCTCTGTAGAGAAGCTTTAATACCACCTTTGTTCTGCCAGGTCAAAGGGGTTAGCAGACCTACCACACCCTTCATAGCCCCTGAAACCTTTTCTGAATGTTGCCTACCCATCTGCACTTCCCATGGTAGCCTATCGCTTTCCGTACTACTTTAGACCAGTGCCAGTCTTAGCAAACCTACTATTGGCTGAGCCATAATACACCAACAGATCTAAGCCCTCCCATGGGTGCTTTCCTCTTTGCTTAGACTTCTTTATGTCTATGGTCACTCTTCTATCATAGTTCATTTCACATTAAACACCTTCAGCTTGGCTGGCTATGGTGACACACGCCTTTAATTCCAGCACTCCAGAGACAGGCAGGTAGATCTCTGTGAGTTCAAAGACAGCCTGGTCTACATATGGAGTTTACATAACAGATACCCTCTACCCCCCACCAAAAAAAAAAAAAAAAAAAAAACCAAAGAAACAAAAAGACAAGACAATAAAATCATAGATCTTTACTTACTTAAAAAAAAAAATGACAGTACCAGGTGTGGTGGCACATGCCTATAATTCCAACACTCTTAGAGGCAGAAGCAGGTGGATCTCTGTGAGTTCAAGGCCAGCCTGGTCTACAAAGTGAGTCCAGGACAGCCAAGGCTACACAGAGAAACCCTGTCTCAAAAAACAAAGTGACGAATTTCACGTTTCACGTTTATTTCAATAGTTCAGCGAATATGTACATATATATATATTCATATTATATATACATATGCAGAGATTAAGACACAAAGAAAACACAGTAAAACACTAAAACTGGGAATATAGCTAAAGAGTGTGGAACAGTTCATTGTATTGCCTGGCTACTTTTCTGTAGCTTTGGTATATTAAACATAAGACACAGATTTCAATAATCACATAAAGTTAACTTACACTGTTTAGGTAGAAACACTGGCAATACAGTGGTAATTCAGGATGATGGAATTCTGGGAAGGATAAGCTTATGAGGGGGACCTCACAGGAGCTTCTGATACCACAAGTATCTCTACTCAAGTATAAGTTTGATTTTCCTTTCTAGTTATTAATTATATAGTCTACATTTTTTTCTAAATATATATTCCAAACTCGGAAAAGGTTAAAAAATGGAATGAAATATATAAATTTTATATGCTTTGTGAATTTCACATCATGTACCCTAATCCCACTCATCTCCCTGTCCTTTCATATCTGCCCTTCACCCTGTAACCTCTCCCCAAAAAAAAATAATATAGAATAAAAAACAACAAAAATCTCCTCGTGAGTGTGTAGTGTGTCACACAGTACACCCTTTTGTCCACATGTCTTGTGTGCGCAAGTGATGCGGTATGGGCAAGGAAGAGATGCTCCCCCTCACCCACAGCCTGGGGCAGGTGGGAGAGCTGGCCCTGGGGCCATGAGAACTAGACAGATGGCCCTGGTCCTCACTGGCTACAGTGCCCAGGAAAGTGGGCCCTGCAACTTGCCTGGGCAGCACAGTAGAGCTGGGCCTGGTGGCAAGGGGTGTTGGTGTGGGTGAGCTGGCTCTGTCCCTTTCCCACTGCATCACTGGGTGAGCTATCTGGGGCAGAGCAGGAGAGCTCACCCTGTTGGTGAGGAGACAGGAAAGCTGGTAGGCTGTCCAATTCAGCCATCACCTGGGCCCAGGTCCAGGGCTTTGAGTTAGCCCACCCCAATATCTACCCCATCTGCTGGAACTCATGAAAGGGCTGGTCCTGTAGATCCAAAGCTGCAGGTTCTCCATGACACAGGGCAACAACTGGATATCCAAGAGGAATCCCCCTGATGATCCATTATTGATAGTGTAGCAGAAGCCAAAGTCCTCAAACCACACCATGACTCATTGCCATGAACACTGCAAGTAAGGATGTGTGGACAGATTTTTTTAAGTGGAAAAAAAAAAGAACTTTAAATATGAGCTTAATTGAACACAGTCTACCACCTTTATTTTGAGATAGGATCTCTTTCTATGTAGTCCTGGCTATCCTGGAACTCACTACATAGGCCAAGCTGACCTTGAACTTAGAGATCTCCTGCCTCTATCTCTCAAGTATAAACTTAATAGAAAAAGTGAAATGATGGTGTGTATAATATATAACATGCTGTCATGAAAAATATCAAACTTAAGAAATATACTTAAGAGCTGGGCAGTGGCGGCACACAACTTTAATCCCTGCACTTGGGAGGCAGAGGCAGGCCTATGTTCGAGGCCAGCCTGGTCCACAGAACAAGCTCCAGGCCAGCCAAGGCTACACAGAAAAACCCTGTCTCAAAACAAACAAACAAACAAAAACACTTAAGAAGGAGGGCTATTATTCAATCAAGATTTGTATTTTTAATTTATTATTATTATTATTATTATTATTATTATTATTATTATTATTATTATTAATTTTGCAGAGTCTGTGTAGATCTGGCTGGCCTGGCTGGTATAACAGGCTACTCTCAAACTCATGTAGATATTCCTGCCTCTGCCTCCAAAGTGCTAGGATTAAAGGCATATACCAACAGACCTGGTTCTGGGATTCTTTGTTTTAAGCTTGCCTGTTACATTCTATTCCAAGGACACTAACAGACCTCATAATTTTAGGCGGACAGAGACCAAATGATTCCAGCAAAGCAGCAGCTAATGCTTATCACGTACTCCTGTGTTGGTCCCCTAGACCTCCCAAACCCTGGAAAAGCAAGCAAAAGCTTCCTCATAGAATATGCACATGAGGATGACTATGTTACATTACAGGAAGGAACACTAAACTTGGGAGTTTTCTGCTCTAAAAGAAAGCAGAAGTAAGCTGCCCCTTGTAGGATGGAGATGAGATGTTGACTCATTCCTTGAGGTCGCTCCTTGCAAACCTATTCTAATAAACAGTACAGGTAAAGCATTCAAGTTCTTCAGACATGCCCAATTTAACAGTTAATAGTTATCAACTTAACTGGATGATAACTTAACTTAAGAGACACATTCCTGGGCCTGCCTATGAGGGCATTTCTAGAACTTTAAGAAAAACCTACCCTATATGTGGACAATGCCATGCCAATGACTGGAGTCCCATACTAAATAAGAAAGGGAGGAGAAACTCTACAAGAGCTTCAGGGGTCAGTCATGGACTGAAGGAAATGGCATGTGTGTCCTGCTTGGTTTAAGTCTTGCTTTAGCCTGATTTTCCTTGATAACTGCCTATTCTTTTGGAATTTTGATAATGTTTATTTTGTGTCAATGTACATGAGAGTCTAACTTTTTAAAAAATTTTATAGGTGTTTAAAGTTAAGAGAACGTCTTGAGTTTCTTATGCAACAGGAGGTGCCAGGGAGACAAATACTTTCTTAGGCACTCTAATGAAAGGGCAAAGGGAACTTCAGTTCTATGCACTTGTCTAGGAACAGACTTGCAAAAGCCGGTTTGACCCTGTAGTCAGTGCTGAGGAGGAGTCAAGGTTGCAGCATCTGGGCACCTGACTCTTCCTCCTGGGCTGTGGTTATCAGAAATAAGGCACTTGTCCCTCCTGTCTTCAATGCTGTGCTCAGTCCCCAACTCTGGCAGACATTCCTTGCCCAACCACAGGCCATACCTGCCAGAACACCAGGTAGGCTGCCCGCCCTCTGACCTCCTCCATATACTTTCCCCACCACACACACAATCCTCATCCCCTCCTTGTCACCATATCCTAGCCCCCAACTCAGGCAGCCCCCAACACAGCCCCCAGCTGGGCAGTTGCCCAGCTCTAGAGGCAACACTGGCCACCAGAACTTCAGGAAGGCCACCCACCTGTAGACCTCCTCTACTCTCTTGGTGTCCCCCAACACTATCCCCAATCTCCCCTCTCCTCCTTGTAACCATTTAACAGCCTTCAACTAGGAAGAGACTTCTTGCTGGCCTCCAGGACTCCAGCCCCCAACTTAGAGGCCAGAAGACCAGGGAGGGAAAAAAACAAAACAAGAAACAAAACACTCATCCAAAAAAGACAAAACCAGATATTGGCACTAGACCTATAAACGCCCCAAACGTACATGCTTCGACAACAGCATAAGAACATGATCAACAACAACCAGGGCAATGTGTCACCACCAGAACCCAGCTATCTTACTACAGCAGGCCATGAATATTCCAACACAGCTGAAGCACAAGAAAAAGACCTTAAAGGAAATTTATGAAAATGATAGAGATCATTAAAGAAGAAGTGAATAAATCCCTTAGAGAAATCGAGGAAAAGACAAACAAAAAAAAAAAATTGAAGAAACTGAGTAAATCCCTTAGAGAAAGCTAAAGGGGTAGGGAGAACAAAAACAACAGATGAAGTAAACAAAACTGTTCAGGCCCTGAGAATGGAAAACAAAAGTATTAAAGAAAACACAAATTGAGGAAATTCTGGAAATGGGAAGTCCAGGTAAGTGAGCAGAATCTACAGACACAAGCATCAACAACAGAATACTAGAGACACAGAGAGAATCTCAGGCATTGAAGATATGATAAAAGAAATGGATATATCAGTCAAAAATGTTAAATATAAAAAATTTCTGACACAAACATTCTGGGACACTATCAAAAGAGCAAACCAAAGAACAGAAATAGAAAAAGGAGAAGAGTCCCAGCT